ATTCTGTGTCTGTGTCCCTCAGTAGTAACAATTCTGTGTCCCTCAGTAACAATTCTGTGTCTGTCCTCAGTAACAATTCTGTGTCCCTGAGTAACAATTCTGTGTCCCTGAGTAACAATTCTGTGTGTCCCTGAGTAACAATTCTGTGTCCCTCAGTAACAATTCTGTGTCCCTCAGTAACAATTCTGTGTCCCTGAGTAACAATTCTGTGTCCCTGAGTAACAATTCTGTGTCCCTGAGTAACAATTCTGTTCTGTCCCTGAGTAACAATTCTGTGTGTCCCTGAGTAACAATTCTGTGTCCCTGAGTAACAATTCTGTGTCCCTCAGTAACAATTCTGTGTCTGTCCCTGAGTAACAATTCTGTCTGTGTCCCTGAGTAACAATTCTGTGTCCCTGAGTAACAATTCTGTGTCCCTGAGTAACAATTCTGTGTCCCTCAGTAACTAATTCTGTGTCCCTCAGTGTCCCTGAGTAACAATTCTGTGTCCCTCAGTAACAATTCTGTGTCCCTCAGTAACAATTCTGTGTCCCTCAGTAAACAATTCTGTGTCCCTCAGTAACAATTCTGTGTCTGTCCCTGAGTAACAATTCTGTGTGTCCCTGAGTAACAATTCTGTGTCCCTCAGTAACAATTCTGTGTGTCCCTGAGTAACAATTCTGTGTGTCCCTGAGTAACAATTTGTGTCCCTGAGTAACAATTCTGTGTCCCTCAGTAACAATTCTGTGTCCCTCAGTAACAATTCTGTGTGTCCCTGAGTAACAATTCTGTGTCTCCCTGAGTAACAATTCTGTGTCTGTCCCTGAGTAACAATTCTGTGTCCCTCAGTAACAATTCTGTGTCCCCAGTAACAATTCTGTGTCCCTGAGTAACAATTCTGTGTGTGTCCCTGAGTAACAATTCTGTGTCCCTGAGTAACAATTCTGTGTCCCTCAGTAACAATTCTGTGTCCCGTAACAGTAACAATTCTGTGTCCCTGAGTAACAATTCTGTGTCTGTCCCTGAGTAACAATTCTGTGTCTGTCCTCTGAGTAAACAATTCTGTGTCCCTGAGTAACAATTCTGTGTCCCCAGTAACAATTCTGTGTCCCTGAGTAACAATTCTGTGTCCCCTGAGTAACAATTCTGTGTCCCTCAGTAACAATTCTGTGTGTCCCTGAGTAAACAATTCTGTGTGTCCCTGAGTAACAATTCTGTGTCCCTCAGTAACACAATTCTGTGTCCCCCCAGTAACAATTCTGTGTCCCTCAGTAACAATTCTGTGGTCCCCTGAGTAACAATTCTGTGTCCCTGAGTAACAATTCTGTGTCCCTGAGTAACAATTCTGTGTCCCTGAGTAACAATTCTGTGTCCCTCAGTAACAATTCTGTGTCCCTGAGTAACAATTCTGTGTCCCTCAGTAACAATTCTGTGTGTCCCTGAGTAACAATTCTGTGTCCCTGAGTAACAATTCTGTGTCCCTCAGTAACAAATTCTGTGTCCCTCAGTAACAATTCTGTGTGTCCCTGAGTAACAATTCTGTGTCCCTGAGTAACAATTCTGTGTCCCTCAGTAACAATTCTGTGTCCCTCAGTAACATTCTGTGTCCCTGTAACAATTCTGTGTCCCTCAGTAACAATTCTGTGTCCCTGAGTAACAATTCTGTGTCTGTCCCTGAGTAACAATTCTGTGTGTCCCTCAGTAACAATTCTGTGTGTCCCTGAGTAACAATTCTGTGTCCCTGAGTAACAATTCTGTGTCCCTGAGTAACAATTCTGTGTCCCTGAGAGTAACAATTCTGTGTCCCTCAGTAACAATTCTGTGTGTCCCCTGAGTAACAATTCTGTGTCCCCCTGAGTAACATTCTGTGTCTGTCCCTGAGTAACAATTCTGTGTCCCTCAGTAACAATTCTGTGTCCCTCTGAGTAACAATTCTGTGTCCCTCAGTAACAATTCTGTGTCCCTGAGTAACAATTCTGTGTCCCTGAGTAACAATTCTGTGTGCCCTCAGTAACAATTCTGTGTCCTCAGTAACAATTCTGTGTGTCCCTGAGTAACAATTCTGTGTCCCTGAGTAACAATTCTGTGTCCCTGAGTAACAATTCTGTGTCCCTCAGTAGTAACAATTCTGTGTGTCCCTGAGTAACAATTCTGTGTGTCCCTGAGTAACAATTCTGTGTCCCTGAGTAACAATTCTGTGTCTGTAACAATTCTGAGTAAACAATTCTGTGTCCCTCAGTAACAATTCTGTGTCTGTCCCAGTAACAATTCTGTGTCCTCAGTAACAGTAACAATTCTGTGTCCCTGAGTAACAATTCTGTGTCCCTGAGTAACAATTCTGTGTCCCTGAGTAACAATTCTGTGTCCCTGAGTAACAATTCTGTGTCCCTCAGTAACAATTCTGTGTCCCTCAGTAACAATTCTGTGTCCCTGAGTAACAATTCTGTGTCCCTGAGTAACAATTCTGTGTCCCTGAGTAACAGTATTCTGTGTCCCTGAGTAACAATTCTGTGTCCCTGAGTAACAATTCTGTGTCCCTGAGTAACAATTCTGTGTCCCTCAGTAACAATTCTGTGTCTGTCCCTGAGTAACAATTCTGTGTGTCCCTGAGTAACAATTCTGTGTCCCTCAGTAACAATTCTGTGTCCTGAGTAGTAACAATTCTGTGTCCCTGAGTAACAATTCTGTGTGTCCCTGAGTAACAATTCTGTGTCCCTGAGTAACAATTCTGTGTCCCTGAGTAACAATTCTGTGTCCCTCAGTAACAATTCTGTGTCCCTGAGTAACAATTTTGTGTCCCTCAGTAACAATTCTGTGTCCCTCAGTAACAATTCTGTGTCCCTCAGTAACAATTCTGTGTCTGTGTCCCTGAGTAACAATTTCTGTGTCCCTGAGTAACAATTCTGTGTCCCTGAGTAACAATTCTGTGTCCCTCAGTAAAATTCTGTGTCCCTCAGTAACAAATTCTCTGTGTCCCTGAGTAACAATTCTGTGTCCCTGAGTAACAATTCTGTGTCCCTGAGTAACAATTCTGTGTCCCTCAGTAACAATTCTGTGTCCCTGAGTAACAATTCTGTGTCCCTGAGTAACAATTCTGTGTCCCTGAGTAACAATTCTGTGTCCCTGAGTAACAATTCTGTGTCCCTGAGTAACAATTCTGTGTCCCTGAGTAACAATTCTGTGTCCCTCAGTAACAATTCTGTGTCCCTCAGTAACAATTCTGTGTCCCTGAGTAACAATTCTGTGTCCCTGAGTAACAATTCTGTGTCCCTCAGTAACAATTCTGTGTCCCTGAGTAACAATTCTGTGTCCCTCAGTAACAATTCTGTGTCTGTCCCTGAGTAACAATTCTGTGTCCCTGAGTAAACCCTGAGTAACAATTCTGTGTCCCTGAGTAACAATTCTGTGTCCCTCAGTAACAATTCTGTGTCCCTGAGTAACAATTCTGTGTCCTGAGTAACAATTCTGTGTCCCTCAGTAACAATTCTGTGTCCCTCAGTAACAATTCTGTGTCTGTCTGTCCCTGAGTAACAATTCTGTGTCCCTGAGTAACAATTCTGTGTCCCCTGAGTAACAATTCTGTGTCCCTGAGTAACAATTCTGTGTCCCTGAGTAACAATTCTGTGTCCCTCAGTAACAATTCTGTGTCCCTCAGTAACAATTCTGTGTCCCTCAGTAACAATTCTGTGTCCCTGAGTAACAATTCTGTGTCTGTCCCTGAGTAACAATTCTGTGTCTGTCCCTCAGTAACAATTCTGTGTCCCTCAGTAACAATTCTGTGTCCCCTGAGTAACAATTCTGTGTCCCTGAGTAACAATTCTGTGTCCCTGAGTAACAATTCTGTGTCCCTCAGTAACAATTCTGTGTCCCTCAGTAACAATTCTGTGTCTGTCCTGAGTAACAATTCTGTGTCCCTGAGTAACAATTCTGTGTCCCTGAGTAACAATTCTGTGTGTCCCTCAGTAACAATTCTGTGTCCCTCAGTAACAGTAACAATTCTGTGTCCCTGAGTAACAATTCTGTGTCCCTCAGTAACAATTCTGTGTCCCTCAGTAACAATTCTGTGTCTGTCCCTGAGTAACAATTCTGTGTGTCCCTGAGTAACAATTCTGTGTCTGTCCTGAGTAACAATTCTGTGTCCCTCAGTAACAATTCTGTGTCCCTGAGTAACAATTCTGTGTCCTGTCCCTCAGTAACAATTCTGTGTCCCTGAGTAACAATTTGTGTCTGTCCCTGAGTAACAATTCTGTGTCCCTCAGTAACAATTCTGTGTCCCTCAGTAACAATTCTGTGTCTGTCCCTGAGTAACAATTCTGTGTGTCCCTGAGTAACAATTCTGTGTCCCTCAGTAACAATTCTGTGTGTCCCTCAGTAACAATTCTGTGTCCCTCAGTAACAATTCTGTGTCTGTCCCTGAGTAACAATTCTGTGTCTGTCCCTGAGTAACACTTCTGAGTAACAATTCTGTGTCCCTGAGTAACAATTCTGTGTCCCTCAGTAACAATTCTGTGTCCCTCAGTAACAATTCTGTGTCCCTCAGTAACAATTCTGTGTCTGTCCTGAGTAACAATTCTGTGTCTGTCCCTGAGTAACAATTCTGTGTCTGTCCCTGAGTAACACAATTCTGTGTCCCTGAGTAACAATTCTGTGTCTGTGTCCCTCAGTAACAATTCTGTGTCCCTCAGTAACAATTCTGTGTGTCCCTGAGTAACAATTCTGTGTCCCCTCAGTAAACAATCCTGTGTCCCTGAGTAACAATTCTGTGTCCCTGAGTAACAATTCTGTGTCCCTCAGTAACAATTCTGTGTCCCTGAGTAACAATTCTGTGTCTGTCCCTGAGTAACAATTCTGTGTCCCTCAGTAACAATTCTGTGTGTCCCTCAGTAACAATTCTGTGTCCCTCAGTAACAATTCTGTGTGTCCTGAGTAACAATTCTGTGTCCCTGAGTAAACAATTCTGTGTCCCTCAGTAACAATTCTGTGTCCCTGAGTAACAATTCTGTGTCTGTCCCTGAGTAACAATTCTGTGTCCTCCTGAGTAACAATTCTGTGTCCCTCAGTAACAATTCTGTGTCCCTGAGTAACAATTCTGTGTGTCCCTGAGTAACAATTCTGTGTCCCTCAGTAACAATTCTGTGTCTGTCCCTGAGTAACAATTCTGTGTCCCCCTGAGTAACAATTCTGTGTCTGTCCCTCAGTAACAATTCTGTGTCCCTCAGTAACAATTCTGTGTGTCCCTCAGTACAATTCTGTTCTGTCCCTCAGTAACAATTTCTGTGTCCCTGAGTAACAATTCTGTGTCCCTGAGTAACAATTCTGTGTCTGTCCCTGAGTAACAATTCTGTGTCCCTCAGTTCTGTGTCCCTGAGTAACAATTCAGTGTCTGTCCCTGAGTAACACAATTCTGTGTCTCAGTAACAATTCTGTGTCCCTCAGTAAAACAATTCAGTGTCCCTCAGTAACAATTCTCCTTTTGTGTCCCTCAGTAACAAAATTTGTGGTCCTAGTAAAAAATCTGTGTCCTCAAGGGAAAAGCTTGTCCTTGGGCCCTTTAGTTAAAAATTCTGTGTTGGTTCCCCCCAGTTAAAAAATTTGTGTCTGTCCTTTTGGGAACAATTTGGTCTGTCCCCCGGGAAAAATTCTTTTTTGGGCCCTTTCAGTAACCCTCTGTGTCTGTTAGTAAAAATTCTGTGTCCCTAGTAACAATTTTTGTGTTTTCGTAACAATTTTTTTGGGGTTTTTGTTCCCCGAGTAACAAATTTTGGTTTTTTGGTTCCCCCAGGAAAATTTGTTTTCCCCCAGTAAAATTTTGTTTTCGTTCCCCAGTAAAATTCTTTGGGCCCCCGTAACAATTTGTGTCCCCAGTAACAAATTTGTGGTTTCCCGGTAAATTCTGTGTCCCTTAGTTTAAAAATTCTTGTTGGGCCCCAGTAACAATTCTGTGTCCTCGTAAAACCAAAATTTTGTGTCCCCAGTAAAAAATTTGTGTCCCCCGTTTACAAATTTTGCTGTCCTAGTAACAATTTTTGTGTCTGGGTTTTAGTAACAATTTTGTGTTTTCCCCCAGTAAAATTCTGGTCCTCAGTAAAATTCGTGTCTTTGGAACAAATTTTTTTGTGTCCCTCAGGGAACAATTTTTTGGTCCCCCGGTAAAATTCGTGTTCCCCCCCGTAACAATTTGTGTTTACTAGTAAAAAATTTGTGTTCGGGAACCCAAATTTGTGTTGTCTGGGGTAACAATTCTGTGTTTCCGGGGAAAAAAATTTGTGTCTTTGGTAACATTTGTGTTCAGTAACAATTCTGTTTCCCCAGTAACAATTTGTGGCCCTGAGTAAAAATTCTGGTTTTCCTGAGAAACAATTTTTGTGTCCTTAGTTTTAAAAAAATCGTTTTGTTTTCCTCCGTTAAAAATTTTTTTGTTGCCCCGAGTAACAATTTTTGTTTTCCCCAAATAAAATTCTGTTTTCCCCAGTCCCCCTTTTGAGTCCTTGGCCCCCTTTTGTAACAATTCTGTTCTTTGGTAACCCAAATTTTGTTTTGTCCCCAATCACAAATTTGTTTTTCCCCCCGTAACAATTCTGTGTCCCCGAAAAATTTTTGTTTTCCTAGAAAAATTCTGTGTTCCCTTTTTGGTAACAAAATTTTGTGGGCCCCGATTAAAAATTTGTGTTTAGTAACAATTCTGGCCCCAAATAAAAATTTTGTGTCCCTCAGTAACAAATTTTTGTTGTTGAGTCCAATTCTGTGCGGCCCTTTTAACAATTCTTTTTGTCCCCGAGTAAAAAATTCTGTGTCTTTTCCCGTAACCTTCTGGTCCCCCAGTAAAAAAATTTGGTCCTCAGTAACAATTCTGTGTTCCCGG